ATCGATAGTACACTGGTGGATTTTACCCTAGAAGCCATCACATGTCGGAATTCCTCGTTTATACTGGCGGGTCGTTGTTTTTATTTATTGTTTCTTTTTAGTTTTATTTCTCCCATCCATTCTCGTTCGTCTAGATAAAGTTTAGGATAGTATAATTACTGTACTTGGTAAATTTAAGAACTTAATTTCCTGTGGATCGATATCTGGAATTCACTATTCTAAAAACGCGATACTGTACACTTGCGGTTATTTATACGTAGGTTTTACGCGTATCAAGTTTTTGGCGTCGTTGCAGGAATTAGTTAATCTTGAATTTACTAATATCGTTACCAACTATCCTTGCTTTACTTTACTTAAGGTTCGAACTTAAGCCAAAGTTAGTTCTCCGACGACCAAGTCAATTTCCTTCTAAAACAAGTATAAACAGTATGTAAGAGCGAGATAGAAGGAGAGAGGTGATTGGTTGTGTACCTTATGAGGTTTGCCACATTCTCCTTTTATAAGAATTATCACGTATTTCAAATAGTTTCTTGTTCCTATTGAACTGTTCTGAAATGATATTTACAGAGATAAAATTTATAGGTCACAAAGTAACTTTAATATTTATTAACTTTTAAAATCTAGAAGCCTAATTTCTCTCAACCTCTCTTAACCCACAATATCTATCGACGGCAATTTGAGACTCGTAGACTACAGATCTGAGGCTATTTTTATACTTTTACAAACCTTGAATCTTGAATTTGTCGGAAAAAAAAAAAAAAAAAAAAACCAATTTTGTGAGTTCCGTGTAGATCCACACGGAATTGGTAGAGTCCGTTCTGTGTAGATCTACACGGAAATATCATGTACAACATATATCCTTGTAAAACTACACGGAATTGACTCTACCAATTCGTTGTGGATCTAAACGGAACAATTCTTTTTTTTTTTTTTTGTAATTAATTTCGAGTTATTTCATGTGATTCTACACAGAATACCTATGTTCAATTCCGTGTTGAATAACATGGAATATTTAATTTCGAGTTGTTCCGGTATATCTAAGATTTTCCACATCAACACCTCTTGCTCGTCCAAGTCTATACTTCTCATACGTCATATACTGCCCATTGGGACTTTTAGACTGTTTTATCAAATGCATACCATGACTAATAGCAGTTTCTTTCGAATAGTTAACGAATTCCTCTCTACTATCAAAAACAAGTGTAACATCGAAAAATTAACTGTAGTCGGTCAATTCATACGTGTTCGAAGGGACCATACTTTCTTCTGCTTCCAATTCTTTTCTTCCATTTGTTGTTATTTCATTAAAGACAAAAAAATTCCATTAAACAACAACAAAAAAAAAATTAATTAATTAATTAATATTCTTTGTGAATCCATACGGACCGGATTGAACAGGTTCCGGGTTAATCAGCACGGACAAAAGAAAAAAATATTGTCAGTTCTATGTGTGTC